GATCTGGTATTGTAAAATAGTTTTTTTATATGTTGCACACCGGGTGAAAAGTCAGTCGTGTAACATCGACGGTCGCTATATCCTTAAATTACATATGATCTGCTAATCTAATTCTAAGTAATAATTATTGGAGACAATTATATACCTGATTTATACCGCAACAATTAACAAAAAGTGGCTCACGAAGAAAAATTTAGAAAATAACGATAATAAAGAATAATATCCAAAATTGGGAGGACTTCCAAGAAATGCAAAAGATTTTAAGGCCACTTTAAGGGAAAGTAGTCAAAATTGCTAGACAGAATCAGGAGTTTTATATGCAGATACGAAATATTAATTATAAATCGGGCGTTACCGTTACTTTTGAATGCAACTGGGGCTAGTATGCTTAAACCACGTGATGAAGCAGACGCTAACGCTAATGCTAAGCTAGCGAATCAGCTTTTTTACTGCGTCAGCCTCGACAATGACAAGCATAAAAAGAACATATCATTTTTCTGATAGCATCCTTGATTCGGCGATCAATAATGGTATCCGCATTTGAGTTTTAGTGATATAAGAAATAAGAAAGACCCTGCCAAAATATAACCTTTTAACAATAAAGGACGTTTAAAAGCACAAGCAAGGTTATTTCGGCTATAAAAGAAAGATTTAAAAATGTCTTCCATTTTTAGCTCTGTGCGGGATACCCTATATTCTGTTACTTCCTGTTGTTTCCCAAATCCGACGCTATACATAAATCGTCGAACTTTTAAGGTGATCAGACTGCTTGGTGAAGGGTAATTTTGTGTTTTTTTTACTGTTATATAAAGGCTTGTTAGGTTTTGACGATGCTTTTTTTTTCAGGGGATTTTCGTTTGTTTATCTGGTGCAGGATGCCAGCACTAGCCGATTATTCGCCCTTAAACAAATTAGATGTCCATTCGGGGGTGCTTCTGTAAAAGATGCAATGAAAGAGGTTGAAATGTATCGATTATTTCAACACGATAACATCATAAAAGTTATTGTATGTTGTATCATGATTCATCCAATATGTACAAAATTTCTTAATTTGTGTACTAATTATAGTTCATCATTCTTTTTTGCTTAAGGATTCGTGCGTTGTTCCTGATAAAGATAGTAGCAAAATTGTGTATATATTTTTACCCTATTATAAGGTTCGTTGATGTACTTTAATGATAGTTAAAAGCTTTTATGTTTATCTTAAAATTATTAAATTTTATTATATGTAAGTAGAATGGAAATCTTCAAGACGCTATTAATAAGAATTCGTTAGAGGGCAAGAATTTTGCTGAAAAAGATATGCTAAAAATATTCCAAGGAATCTGCTGTGCTGTTCGAGTGCTCCATAATTACAAACTTCCTAGTGTTCAAAAAAAGGAATATGAACATACAAATGGAAACGCTCTTCCTAATGGACATATAGATAATGATGTACTCAACCAAACAGCCCCAACAGAACCTCAAGTAGAGGAAGATATTGTACCATTTGCGCATAGAGATATCAAACCTGGGTTTGTATTCTTCGCTGTCGCTTTGCGCTTTATTTAATATCTTTAGGAATTTTTAGTTTATTTATTTGTTTGATATTTTATTTTATGCAGTAACATCTTGATGTCCGATGACATGCAAACTCCTGTCCTGATGGATTTTGGCTCCTTAATTCGGGCGCGGATAAAAGTTGATAACCGAAGTAATGCTTTGGAGCAACAAGAATTAGCAGCAGAAAAATCTACTATCTCTTATCGTGCCCCGGAATTATTTGACGTCAAAACTAATGTTGAGTTGAATGAGAAAGTTGATATTTGGGTATATAAATAAATAAAATAAAATATTTTAATGTTAGTTTTTTATAATATATTTGTATTTTACTATTTTTATATATTTTATTCAAGTCATTGGGATGTACTCTTTATGCCATGGCCTACGGAAAATCACCTTTTGAAAATAATCTTAATGAGCAAGGCGGGTCGATAGCATTAGCAGTCCTTAATAATCAATATAAGCTCCCCAGCATTGAAAGCGATATGTATGAAATTAGTTCTCTTAATTTTATTCCTGTTTATTATTTTTAACGTAATAATTTAAATATTTTGATTTCTTTTTATTCATAGTTACTCTCAAGAATTTAGAAACCTTATTAGCTTTTTGTTAGCAGTAGATCCAAAAGATCGGCCTAGTATTCATCAGGTATGTTTTAAAGTACAAAGTAATTAATGGTATAACTTATTTACCGTTCTTCATCTAATAGGTGATAGAAAGAGTTGATTCATTGATTGAACAGCTGGATCCCAGAAATAATGATACAAATATTTAAGAAAAATCAAATTGGATGTACGTTTTTATTTCGTAACATTTATAGATAATTATTACCGTACTTTTTTTTCGGGCTGGATTCATTCTTAATATATCCGTATGTATATGTATCAGTATATACATTTTACTAGCCTTGTATCAATGGTCATTTATTATTTACGCAAGTTGGGTTCATCATTTACAATTTCAGTTTGATGCTGAATTTGCTGAATTTGCAACTATTATTTTTATCGGGTTTATGATCATTCGATAACTTTATTTTGTTCTATTTCTTTTTATTTATAAGAATAAATACGGGAACAATTTTAGCGCCACTATTACATTTATTATTTGACAATCAATCTATTACAAAATGTATAAATATCAGAAATATTATTAATAAATTAAACCCTTTTCAAAATATAATTACTATGAATTTTAGAATGATTATGAATTATTGTATTTATATTTGTATACTGTATTTATTTGTATATCGATTTACTATTTCAAATAGAATATGCAATAATACTAAGTATAAATGTATTATATATTTTTTTATAAAAATTATAAAAATTGACAGTTTTTTTTTTTTTACTAAATAACTAATAATGTTAATAACACTAAATTATAACGTTTTAACAAGAATAATTCTTTGTTTATCTAGAAAATGTTATAAATTCTATTGGATAAAAGACTAGTCATACAGTGTGGGCATCCTTAAACCAACATATAAAATGCATAATCTTTAAAAGTTTATAAATAAAAAACAAATAGTTATAATTTAAATCTCTTCATAAGGTAATAAACTAAACCTAAAGAACATAATATTTAATAGAGTTTGAAGTTACCCAGTTTTGTTAACAAATTTAAATTTTGGTCATCTTAATTTTGGTCAATTATTTGAAATTAACAATTCTGGTCAAAATTATGATTAATTTAATATTAATTAAAAAATTATTATAAATATATTCAAAATTTAATTTCTTTGTAATTTTTTTCTCTCTCTCTATCTTTTTCTCTCCCTCTCCATCTCCCTCTTTCTCTCTCTCTCTCTCCCTCTCTTTTTTTTCTTTATACAATAATTAATTATATTAATTTATTTTGATTTATTTGTGTAACATATACTTAAATTTGGCCACTAAATTTATGACTTGCTGGTTTAAGGATGCCCGCACTGTAGTATACTACATGTAGTACACAAAAAATAGCAATTAAAAAAAATTTTTTTTCAAAAACTTTATTAATATTAAAAAAAATTTTGTTAAACTATATTATGGTATTTATCAGATTTTTGTATATAAAAATATTTAGATATATAATTTTTTAGATTTTTAAACTATTTTTCTATTTGTACTACCGGTAGCCTAAAAGCCTAAATCCTATCCATTAAATAAATGATTATGATCTTAAACTATGCATTTAAAACTTTATTGATTAGGCTGTCCTGAATTATGCAATAGCAGAAATTTGCAATTGAAATGAATTTTATAAATTATAATTTCATTTTAAACTATTATAATAGGACTTTTTAAAGACCTGAGGACCCTAGGTCCTTAAATTTGGATTTGGTCTTTAAAGACCAGGTTTAAAGACCAGGTCCTGAAGTCCCGGACCTAAGGACTTTACCAACCCTACCGTGCATAGGGATGATAATTGTGTTGTCCTCGAACGTTGTGACTGCTGTACAGTGCACCAGATCCACTTGCATTCATCGACGAATAAGAACGTGCAGGGCCACTTCGTGAGTTACCACCTCGACTGCCATACATTGGAGAACCTTGATGATGATGGTGATGATCTCGACCATAACTATCATCACGTCCAGGGGGGGAATGACGATATGCACCTCCTAAACGATTGCTAGAACTCGGACCACCTAGCGCAGAAGCACCTCCGGCCGAAGATGGTCCAGATCCATAACTATCACGTCCGTACCATTGACCATAGGATCCACCACGACTTCCAGATCCACCATAGCCGCCACTTCCACTGCCATATTGACTACTGCCATAATTTCCGTATCTATAAAACAAATTTTGGTTAGTCACAGTATAACATGAATAAAGCGACGTTAAAAAAATTAATTACCTTGAAGAATAATATGCATGAGTCATCGCACTATAAGGGTATCCGCTAGGATAATTACTTCCGTAACTGTAGTTGGAATATTGACCGTAACCACCGTAACTAATATAATAAATAGTGTTATAACTTCCTATACTTAATGTCTTCATCTCTGGCACATGGAAACTCCATAAATCCGTACCTGCTATTAGCCGAACTAGCCGGCGATGTCATCATCCCTGCAGACGCAGATGATGATGATCCATAACTTTGCTGACTGTACAATGGTTGTACGCGCTGTGATTTATGTTTAGGCATCGCACGTTTCACTTCAATCTAGGAACGTATATTTCGTTACATATGAGTAGGTAGATATATATTTTAGAAATCTAAAAAATAATAAAGCATTACCTGTTTATTACGGATTTCCAAATCCTGTCGGTTCATCGCTTTTTCTACTGGTTCGGAAGAATCAAATGTGATAAACCCAAATCCTCGAGGTCTACCAGTGTCACGATCAACCATGAGAGTGGCATCAATGACATGGCCAAATTGTGAGAAATATTCCTTAAACTCTTCTTCAGTAACTTCAGGCGCGATACCTCCTACGAATATTTTTTCGGTCTTTTCTTGTTCTTCACGAGGAATGGCACGTTTTGGATCAATCTAAACATCATAAGCAACAATATTGGAAATCGGAAATCGAAATATGGTTCAATGAATCACATTAACTTATAAGGACTATTCAAATTTTTGTTCATCTATTAATTATTTGGACTCCTGACATATCTCTCTATTGCCTCCTTATATAATGGAAGTATCTGTGAACTATAAAATCTAAATATCTCATGTTGACCACTTACAATTTTACCATCCAGCTGATGTTCCTTAACTAATACGGTATTGACGACGCTTGGATCTACAAATGTCAAAAACCCAAAACCACGAGACCTCGATGTATTTGGATCTCTCATAACTATACAATCCGTTACTTCACCGAATTGTGAAAAGTATGCTTTAAGGCTCTCTATAATAAAAAAGATTGTTTTATGTGTAAATTATTTGATAGATGGAATAGGGAATAAATTATAACTAAGACAGGATTTAAGAATTTCGAATGATAAAATCGATGGATCGGTGAAATAACGAACAAACTGTGCTTTAAATTAATTCATCGCAATTTCTTGAGATTGACCAGTCCCCTCCAACAAATAAACAAGTAGAAGATTTAGATAGCTAAAACTTTTCTCTCTTTATAATATATATATTCTTTAATAATATATTTTTCCCCTTTGGCAAGTACAGGAAGAGATCAAGATGAATCTAACGACAAATTCATTGAACAATCTTATGTACATTATATAGAGAGAGAGAGAGAGAGAGGGAGAAGAGAGACCAAGCACAGGGACGTAATTTAAAGAAAGCTAAGGAAGCTAAGAAAGCTAAGAAAGCTATTGTTGACTAAAATGTCTTACCATCTGTTGTTTCCCAATTAAGACCTCCTATGAACATCTTTCTACATAGTGATACGATTATGGTAAAGGAATATAGTAGATAGACAGATGTATTCGATTTTATATAGTAGTAAATTATATATATAAAGTGGAAAGGGTTTTGGGAAAAAAGAGAAACCTATTAGTTGTATTTACTGAGATGCTAAAGAAAGAAATAGAAACCTAGCCTGAAAACTTTTTCTTTTTATTCCTCTAACAAAGTCTATCTTTTCTCCCTCTCTCTTTTCTTGCTAATGAATATTTTGGATATTTGCTCTATAATAAATGTCTATTGAAACTGACTTCCCTCATCAAACCAGCTCCCACATAAACCAATTACTAATCAAACATCCCAACTTTTAACACCCATACCAACTTCAACTTCGTTAAGCGACCTTGTAACTGTACAATGTCATACTTTACTGGAACAAAAGCGAGTAAAATAGAAAAAAAGAACCCCAATTCCGTAGGCAAAATCCAAACGAGTAGAAAACAAAAGTAAACTCGTTATAAAGAAAAATACTGCAAAATACTTTACCCTTCGTCGTGTGGGGGTTTTCCTCCTTCTTCTTTTTTATCGGATTCCTGGGCAGATCGCCCGTCTTGCTTAGGATCAGATGATTGGCGGGATGACGCACTTTCGGCTGCCATTTTAAATGTGTAGCTTTTACTTTTAAGATCGTCTATATAGAATAAATTAACGGCTCTCTGTAAAAGGATTATAAACTTTATAATGGCGAGGGTAAAATGGGTTAACTACCAACAAAAGCACTAGTTAAGTATAAATATTTCCATGTATTGGTTTGTTTATATTTTTTTATCCTTTTGTATATCGATGTGTCATGACTAAGCAAAACTTGAGATCGGCATTTGAACATTTTGGTAGGGATAATTCCTGCGGCACACAATCATGTATTATCGGTATTACGAAGTTAGTACTAGCATTCCGAGAAAAATGTTTATGATTGGTTAAAGAAACTGCGGTAAGCCTATTAGTGTGCATGTAAAAATTCGCACGTGAAGGATCCACTCTTCGCGAATACTGGAATAATTTTTATGTATGAACAATGTCTATAGTTACTGTTTTTGTACAGAGTGATAATGCGTCTTCAGAAAGGCGTTTTGATAAAGGTATCACCATTAGTCAATTGAAAGTAATATTAATAATTTATTACATTTTTGAATCTTACATTTTTTGCAAGTTGAAATATTCACTTTTTTGTTTTCAGACAAAACTCGAACCTATCACTGGAGTACCAGCTGAATCACAATTATTACAATTATATAACGGTGATACTCTGGTTACCTCTGTTGAAGGTGACAATTACATGCTAGGTGCCTTTCCTGTTGATAATTTTATGACGTTGAAGGTTTTTATTCTTTGTTCAATTTTGATGAATTGTGGTGGACTACCTGATAAGCAATCATATGCAAGCCACTATAACCGTAATTCTTACAAATACGTTCAATAAAGGTTATTGATACTAATCCTAGCAGTCATAGAAATCAATATAATGATTTATCACTGGTGGAAAAATATGAATTGCCTGAAGAAGAATATGCGAAACGCACAGGAAAGTTGTCCTACATAATCATCATTATCTCACTTGTCATCCGAATAATCTCTTGCTTTACAAATTATAGATTCAGTCCTTGCTTTTAAACAACGTAACAAACTTGGCCGATTCTCCGAGGCTCATTCTCAAACCTCTGATTCAGATACTTTTGAGGAAGAGGCCAAAAATATAAAAGTTGGGGATCGCTGTGAGGTAGATTTTGGTGATGCTGAAGGATTAAAGCGTCGAGGAACTGTCAAATATGTTGGTAAGTAAAAAAAACAAATAAATTTCCAACAATTCTTTATGCTTCACTAAAACCATATTTTTGTTAAATTTTTAAGGTGAAACCAAATTTAAGCCTGGTTATTGGGTTGGTGTACAGTATGATGAACCAGTTGGAAAACATGATGGTGTTGTTCAAGGCGAACGATATTTTTCTTGTCCTGATAAGTATGGTGCATTTGTTAGACCGAATAAGGTGAAAGTAGGTGATTACCCAGAAGAAGAGTTTGAGGAAATGTAGTGATTTTTAGCTTCAATTAAACTTATTATTTATAATAGAAAAAGGTTATTACATTAAAATTTATAATAACTTGTTTAATATTTGATTTTTAAATCATATAAATACAGTATTAAATTTAACATACAGTATATATTACTGTATATATTAAAAATAGCACTTTTGTTATGATGCTAATTAATCGGTGCGAGATGTCTTAAGTAAAAATGGTTTACGCTTTCAAAACTCTTCACGAACCCTAATTCTGGCCCTCAATACTAACCCTAAAGTAAAAAAATTTGCATTAAAAATTTTATATAAAACTGCCTACCTATAGTAAAAGAGATAGTAAACCAAAAAAAAATTTATTTTAATAGGAATGCAATTTTATAAAATTATAAAATCAAAATTTTTATTCTACTGCTCTTTTTTGCTGTAGAAGTTTTTATATAAAATTTATAAAAACAAATAAAATTTATAATACTGTAGATACTGCATAAGATTACTTTTTTTTATTTGTATTTTAGGCAAATTTGTTTGAAATTTTGAAAAGTATTTATATATATACAGTATATATATTTTTTCTTTGATAACCACGCACTAATTTATTAAAAAATAACTTGGCTAGTGTTAATATTTAACTATATATTAGGCAATACCCAGCTATACATGCCGCACAAACGTTTGGGATTTGGGATTTTTCCATAGACAAACCTGGACAAATAGGATTTTCCAATTATACTTGAAATCCCACCAAATATCATCCCAAATTCCAAATATCACCAAATATTATCACAAATTCCAAATATTATTCCACTATTCCAAATCTTCAAATTGACATTTTAAAAAAAATTAATACCTTAATTTTACAGCTTATATTTTAATTATTTAATTCATAGTCTGTCTAAGAACCAGTAACAAAATATAGTAAAAAGTGTGATATTTACTATTGTCTTTGGAATCTGGAGTTTCCCAAGAAAGCTTTTTTTTTTACTAAGCTAAGCTTTTTCAACTTCTAAGCAAAGTTGTAGAAGAGTGTCTTGCGATCAGGATAGCAGTTAAAATGTTAAAATCAGCCTAGTAGATTGCAAGATATGAGCATTTTAGTCTTCATGATTATATGTTTTCTTCTTTATAGTGCCTGACAAAAGTTTCTCTGCTTTTCTAATTTCAAAGGATCACATGTGGGCCCATGAAATTTTATTCACGTATAGTACATCGCATATACAGATTGTACTAACGTTTTTTGGGTGGGTGGGTTTGATAGTAAAAATATATGTATTGCTTATGAGCAACTTTTTAGCCGCAAAAATATCTCTTCCTTTACATAAGCGATATGAAATTGCTTTTTTGAGGGGGTCCTTAAAGCGGGGCAGATCACGTAAAATGCCGTTTTCATTAACTTTAGGGTTAGGGCCCACCTTGAGTTAGGGTTAGTGTTAGGGTAGTTTCTATAGGTAAAATTACCTTCTCGACATTTTTTATTAATACTGCAAGGTGGGTTTAGACTACAGTTTCTTCTATTTTTCGCATATTTCTTTTTTTTTCGCTTGTTTTGCTTCGCCGGGCTGATCTGGAATCATCAAATTTAACAATTTGATTGGTTAGTTATAACTTAATCTGCCTCGCTTTAAGGGACCCCTTTTTTGAGCATCCACCTGAAAGGCCTGAAGCTTTCAATACGTGAAACTGCAAAGCAAGTTCACTGTAATGAAAGTATAGTGCATTATTGGTAGCAAGAGAACAAGGACCTGAGTGACAAACCAAGGTCAGATCATTAAAGAGTCACTACCCAAAGACAAGACAAAAGGATTTTGTAGCTAGAAAAAGAAAACGAAGACATTACAACCCAGAAATTTGCCATGAGCTATTAAAATGAAACATTGATATTAATGTATGCACTATTCAATATTGTCTTGGTAAAAGTGAAGATTGTTATTATGTGAAACTCTTAAAACTCTTACTTGGGAAGAAGTATCGAAAAAAATGCTTTTTAAAGGTAAAAAAACATAAGTATTTCAACTAGAATTCTGTTATATTTACTGACGAAAGTACTTTTTGCTTGAATCAATAACTAAAAAAAGCTTAGCAGTTTTCAGAACAGAGAAACATAACCCATTCCATCAAGCATCTGTTGAAGGTTTATGTATAAAGCTGTTTTTCTTCTTCGGGCTTTGGCAGGTTGGTCTGCTTTATGTGTAATTTTAATGCGCAATATATAACTACTTTGTATGAAACAGGCCTTTTGCCTTCCACTAAGGACCTTTTTGACAAACATTGCAATAATTGGATCTTGCAAAAGGATAGTGATTCAAAGCACTATTCAAAAATCATAAAAGCATGGAAAGAAGAAAATGACATCCAAGTTATCTCCTGGCCATCAATGTTATCTGACCAAAACCTGATTAAGAATATCTGGAGGCTTATGAAAATGAACCTGGCAAAAAAAAAAAATTCACACACTTAGTTGTTTGAAGGCTGAAATAACTAAAGAATAGAATAGTTTACCTAAAGAATATGCAAAAAATTTAGTAAGAAGTATGAGAAGTTATGTAGAAGCCTTTATTAAAGCTCAGAGTGATTATACAATGCATTAATTTTTTTATAACACATGTATTTTTAACTAAAAAAAATTTTTGTGCTATCTTACTTCTGCGCTGAGTTAGAGATGTAGGAAACTTTTGCTAAGTACTAAATATAAAGAAAAAAACATATAGTTACAAAGACTAAAATGCCTATATCTTGTAATTTACTAGGCCGATTTTAATGTTTTAACTGCCATTATGATTGCAAACCACTTTTCTACAACTTTGCTTAGAAGTTGAAAAGAGCTTAGCTTAGTAAAGAAAAAGTTTTCTTTGAGAAACTCCAGATTTCAAAAACAATAGTAAATATTATATTGTTTTTTAGTTAAGGCATTAATTTTTTTTAAATATTAATCTGCTTTAGAATTTGGGTTTAAATAAGTAATTTGGCTATAATTTGGAATTTGGAACTAGAAATTTGGAATTGAAATTTGGAATTTGACTATAATTTGGGATTTGGAACTAGAGATTTAAAATTTGAGATTTGGGATAAGTTTGGAATTTGGAATAAGTTTGAAATTTGGGATAGATTTGGGATTTGGCCAAAGTTTGAAATTATGTCAGCTCAAATAGAATTTGTCTAGTTTGGAATTTGGGATTTTTTACATGGGATTTGAGTTTTTAAAGATTTGTAGTTTGTACAGCATATAAATATCTAGCTGCTTCAAAAGTGCCAAGTATTACTAGTCAAAAGCTAGCAAATCAGATACAAATCAGGTATACTATATCTAAACCTGATAACTACCTGATTTATATTAATTTTTAAATTTGACTGCCTGATTGGTGCTGATTTATGATGCAAATCGGCATGCTATTAGGATAAAACCAATACAAATCAGATATCAATTGGGTGATTTTTTTTATAAATTAAACAACTATTGTTTGAGAAAGCAATTATAATATAATATTCAATTTTTTTTTTAATTCGGCAATCTTGCCTTAACTATTTATTAGTACTCTAAGGTATTGTGGTTACAATGCTATAGCCTTCTAAGTACCAATATAGCACAGTAACAAGGTCACCCAGTGCAGTGATATATTTGATGAATATACATGGGTGGAAGTGAAGGGTTGAATTACTTCACTAGCAGGAGGCAAATGATTCAAAATAGTAATAGTATATAACTTTATTAAAATAAGAGATAGTAATAAGCCTTGCCTATAGGAATTACCCTAGAGAGGAAATATTATACTTTACAAGAGGAAATAAGAGAAGTATAGGTAAATGCACCTTTTATATATCTTTTACATGTCAAGCCAAAGTAGTAGAGAGAGTTGAGGGCCGTGTTGAGGGAGTTGAAGACCATGTTGAGGAAGTTGAAGGACTTGAGGGACTTGAGGGCCATGTTAAGAAAATTGAAGGCTGTGTTAAGAGAGTTGAAAAACTTAAGGGACTTAAGAGCCATGTTGAGGGAATTGAAAGCCATATATTATCTTTAATACTACCTTGTCTATCTTAGCCACAGTATGTGCTACAGTGGCTCTACTCTAATATTTTACTTAATAAAGTTTCTGTTAACTCTTATGCCAATAATAATATATAATACAAATATAATAATAAATATCTGATATAAAAATATAAGTCAATAAATATAAACTAAATAATATAAAATATAAAATCTAAATTATGTACTACACTAAGTTAATTTACGAAAACCTGTTTCACAACATTTTCCTCCTCTTAAGTTTTTGGTCTACCAAAAACCTTATCCACGTTTATGCTATCTAACAAATTCAAGTAACTCATTAAATTCCTCAATATTTAAATTATTAAGGTCTCTGAGCTTCATTGTATTGGTACAGTAAATTTGATCAGTTCCTGTAGCTTGAAAAAGTTTATGAACTCTAATCTAAACTCTCTTCCTATTTTTGCCTAATTTCTTCCAAGTCTTTTCACCAATATTACTTGGGTACTCCAGGGCTAGACTTTCTAGATAGTATACGTAAGCAAAGGCATGTTGCTGATTATAGGAATCCTTTTTAATAGCAGCTTTGTAATCTTTATGTATAGCTTTAAAGCAAGTGGTCCAATCTTCTTTGTCTAAAGATGATACTTCAACCGGTAATACCTGTATAGAGGCTGTATGCATAATGTCTATTTTGAGTTGGTCTAGTAGGCTAAAAAGGTGTTTATTTTCTATATCCAAAGATGAGATACTGCATATGCATTTATCACCATGCATGATTGTTATAACCAATAACTCACAAATAATGGTTCCAGGGTATTGCAGCTGTTGACAAATTTGGTGAAATTTCTATATCTTTCAGTAAAGCAAGAGATTAATCCAAGAGGGTGCAGTAGTTATTGTAGGGTTAATAAGATATTTGTTAAAGTTTTTCAAAGTGTGTCAAGAATTAAAATTGTTGATATTAAAATTATAAAAGACAAATTTCAACTCTTTAAATATCTTCTAAAGTGTTTACTTGTACTATATAATT